CGCGCGCGCGCTCACACACACCTACACGTCTTATGTCACATACTTGACTACGTGGTGGGTTCGTGTGCGCTAGTGTGTGTGTGTGGTCCGGTGTATGCGCAGCGCCTAATAGAGGGTCTTTACCTCCTCTTCAAGCCGATCTCAGCGAAGGAGGCGTTTCCCCAAAATGGTGTAGTTCATTGAAAGGCGATGCAGCGATGCAGCCGCCTAATTTCTTTCTTGAACGGCTTTTAGATTGACGCCTCTTCGTCTTCATTATCGCCCCTTTTGAAGCTCTCGAGATGCCGCCAAGAAATAAGAGGAAGAGAACAGTAGCGGAGGTTCGAAATAAATATTGCAACGGGTTGTAAAAAGAAATTTTCGTTGTACTGCACTTTAATCTTCAGCGAGTCCTGCAACACTTAAATGGTAATTATGAATGTAACGTAAGCTACAAAGGATTTCACTCTTAGCTTCGATGAACTAGGACAGGGCGTACCACAGCAAAGTTACAGTGCTGTTCACCGCGTCTTACGGTAAAAGTTCATTGTAACTTACTTTGCTGGGGGGCTCACTGTTACGGTGACATTCAACCTTAGCTTTTATTAGTGTTATCTGCAAGAACGAACTGAATCCTCCGTAACATGGACTGCTTTCGTATATTTAACACTATGTGGTCAGGCTTTCGCTCCCATAGACAAAAAATGAGCCGCAGGGAACGTGTTAATCAATAGTGTGATGATAGTCCAGCGGCTTATATTCCAGAGAATGGCTACCGGAAACCTAAGTGTATGAATGTCACACACTTGTAGGTATACCGTGTACTGAATAGTGTTCACATATATGTGAAGTGTGTGAACCTCAAAGGAAAATTCAAACCTCTTCTCTCTTGCATGTACAAATGGGCGTTCACACACCTCCCACAAGTAAGTGTGCGACAATGACCTTCACACACTTCCAGTGTATTTACGTTAATCGATAAACGTACTGTTGTTGGACCACCCTGGTCACGTCTCGCCGTGGCGCGGCTGCTCGCCCGGAAGTGAGAGGAGCGTTTGGTTGATGGTCCAGGTAATGATTATTGATTACGACGTGTGGTGGTGTCGATGCACGCGTGTTTGTGGTTGAGGTGGTCGGGAGGATAGAGCGGGGTGGGGGGGGGGGGTATAGGCTCTTTATTATTTCCTTGTACGGGTGCGTGTGTGAGTGTGTAAGAGAGAGAGAGAGAGAGCATGGACTGCCAATAACGTTATTGTCAGGATCAACTCCAGTCCTGCCTCCTCGACTGACGGGCCTGCCGGCCCGCGGGTCCATATCCCTCCCCACGGCGCGAGCCCCAGCCTCCCAGGCGCCGCCCGCTGATGGATCACCCTCGTCTCCCGTCTCCACATTTCACACGTCACCCTACAAACTTATTTACGATCGCGTCCGCATTGTCTCTTCGACGAGCAAATCGCGCCTTTTACGACTGCGTTGGTGGACCGCATTCGTAAATGTGATATTTTTACTTGTCAGATAAAATGTATGAAACATATTGTAAATTTTTTTACCACAGTGGACCAACCTACCTACCCCAGGAGAAAGGACTGGATCCGGATACCGCCCCCCCCCCATATCTCTCTCTCTCTCTCTCTCTCTCTCTCTCTCTCTCTCTCTCTCTCTCTCTCTCATCGTCTCATACTACGGGACGGGGCGCCCCTTTATCGCATATCATCATCGACTCCTAACGAGACGCGCCCATTACCGGCTATTACGGAGAGAACGTGACGTCAGCGCCACTTTTGAAAATTGATTTTCTATTGGGGATTAAGGCCTCATGCGGTGCCGGCCTTTGATTTCAGTTGTGGTCTGTCGCGATCTCGGTGCAGTAGGCCCTAGTGTGCAAGTACCATTAAATGCTAGAAGCTGGCTCGTTTACCAAAACTTGGTCGCGGCATAGCGATGCTTAATTACAATATGTTTTATTCCCTGCGGCCACACTGCAATCAAAAAAGACTGACCGTAGTATATCCGTATCACAATATCAGTTCATTTTAACGTGTACCTAGGATGTTTATAGCCTATTTTTTTATCAGCACAATTAGAATCCAGTCCTCAGAGCCAACATTTCATTGGTTCTGAATCTGAATTTACTCGCCTGGACTTAACGGTTCGCTGGATGTTCTTTCGAACAAGCAATTGGTTAGGCCGTTGGAATCGTGTGTAGCTGCCCGTGCATGGCGGGTCCCTTTGCCCACACCGCACACCCCCTCACAGTCAGCTGCTCGAGGCGGTCCAGATTCCACCGTTCGGCCGGCGCTGCGCGGGGACACACACAACGACCACCACTGCCGGCTTTGCTGCCCTAATCGCGAACGGCTTGCAGAACGAGAGCGGGTGGCCGCGGTGCACGAGCACGGGACGGATCAGCCCGTGTGAGACTGCAAGTGAGCTGGTGGCCTCATTGAGCGAGACAACATTTTTGTTTATTTTACAAACTTTGTTTACTACGGCACGAGATATGGTGCACACAAATCCAAACATAAATCTTAAATCTTCATGTTAAGTATCGCGGAAAAATACGAGGTTCTATTATTTCTCCCGCCCTTTCGCAGGCAACTCAAACTCATTTACTAGCGCTTTATTCACGTGTCTCCCTAATGCTTGTTTAGGTTTTCCATCGGGCCACCGCGTAATGTTTGACGCACAGTCAAACACACATAAAGCACTCTCAAAAGTAAGTCGAGCCCGCACGGCGACTTACCTACTCGGGCAGAGGGCGGGCGCGTCGGGTATAGGCAGCCGCAGGACGGCGCGGGCGAGCGGGCTGCCTACGCCGCGTTTCGCAGGCGCTCGGGAAGTGGAGAGAGAGAGAAACAGACAAAGAGAGAGAAAGAGTGTGTGTGTGTGTGAGCCCGCGCCCGCGTAACGCGGAGCTTCCTCGAAAAGGGCGTACTTTGCGACGGGAAAACAGTCGGTAACTCGAACGCATAAGCCAAACTACTCCCCTTATTTTCCTCTCTCTCTCTCTCTCTCTCTCTCTCTCTCTCTCTCTCTCTCTCTCTCTCTCTCTCTCTCTTTCTCTCTCTTCCTTGCTCTCCCCCTTCTTTCTCCCCGAACACACATGCGCGCGCACAACGCGAGTGTATGCCGCCGGACTGTGGATAATAATAATAACAACGACGACGGGTGAAAAAAATAATATTCGCCGACAGGTTAGGCAACGCAACAACACAGTTGCGTGGCACGCGCGTGCGCTTATGGCCGGGGCACGGGCGTGCGCGCACGCAAACCTTCTCCTCCCCCTCCCCCCTTCTCCTCCCGCTTATCCTCCCCCTCTCCTCCCCCGCTCTACATCTGCCCCTCCACACGAGCACACACACACACACACACACACACACACACACGCGCGCGCACGCTTTATGAGTGCCGCTCGCGTAGGCATTATGTGAACTCGAGTAACGTCGGCCGGTAATATGCGCCGTTAATAGAAGAGAGAGCGAAAGCGAATGTGCAAATAATTGCAGGCCACCACGCTGGCTATTCGCACTTAATGATACGGTGTCTTGGACCGTTTGAACGGGCGCGCGATGATTGTGAACACCTCGCAATAAGAAGACACGGTTGTTTGACCCGCGCGGTCGGTGGCGCCTGCCTCTGTCTGACACGCTGCGGCTCACAGTGTGACGACTGTATAATAACGTCTGAAGTGGCGATTGAGAGTGCGTGCGGTCACACCGTCACACTGTTGTTAAAACCTATACCAGTGTACCACTGTTAAAGCTAGTTGCTGAACGCTAGTTGGAGGCTTTAAGGAAAAATTTGACATGGATCGTGTCACAAAATAAGAATTCGAAATCGTGAAATGACAAGCATTTGCCTGGAATTAATCGTGTGGGCTGTCATAAATTTCCAATCATGTTATTTGTAAATAGTAAATGAAAAAAATACATAGTAGATGGGGGGTTTTTACCAGAGTAGCACCTTAATGAAACCATCAGATGAATGGGGCTGCGTGCGGCGCGCACCTCAGACTGATAATTTGCTTTAATAGGGGGCTGCGCATAAATTAGGAAAGTGAAGCGCGACCTTGGGGCTATTTTTTCCTCTCCCCCCCCTTCCCCCCTGTCACTCTTTTTGCTTCCACTCACCGGATGCGCGACAGGGACGAGTGAAAGAGAGAGAGAGATTGTGAAGACACTTTGGTCAGCCTCGCCTAATGTGAGCGCAAACGCTCGCGACAAAAATGCAAGTTGCACTTTAATTGTTAAAAATTATATTTCCGTATTTTTGGGGGCGTCTTTTCTCGTCAGGTATTTGCGAGCGGTGAGGCTTCCACACCGCGGCGGCGGCGGCATGCAGTAGTTGTGACAGTGCGAAGGCCGCGGCGGCGTGGGGCGCGCGGGCCAACTTATCGATCCGTTTGGTCAACCGGACACTCGCAATTAAGGTGCCATTATGGGAAATAGTTTTGGAGAGGGAGGGGGAGGGGGAAGGGGAGGGGCTGCGGGCCGCGAGCCGCGGGGCTGGTCGCAAGGGGAAAGGGAGCGCTGGTATGACAGTGACATTTCTCACACACATTCATTCGCCGGGGCCGGGGCTGATGGAGGGCCTGGCGGACAGTGGGGAAAATGGGGCGGGGGTACACGGGCCATTACTGAGCAAACTGACAACACAAAATGCATGAGTTATTTGGAGTGCAATTGCTAACAGAAATGTAAACTAAAATATTTGGAGTTGGAAATTAATTTTCAAAAAACTTCTGAAAACTTTCGGAAAAGAACGAAAAGTTTCCGGGATCTGGCAAATTTTCCAGTGTCCTCCCCCCCAAGAAATTTTCCGGTTTCCTCCCAGGAAATTTTCCGTCTTTCACCCGAGATTTTCTGGAAATTTTCCGGTAACTTTACCCTAAAAATATTTCAGATCCCGACTTTTTATTTTTTTCAACGTCTTTCTTTTTAAAAGGTTCGTTACAAGCAGCAGTGTCTCCACGCTTGGCTACTTTTCTAATGGTGTTTTTTTCCCCTCTCTCTGCCCTCCAGAGGTCAGATGCGGTCACCCTGCGGTGCCCCTGAACGCGCGGGTGTCTCTGTCCAGCGAGGCTCTGGCGCCGGGCGCTGTGGCCACCTACACCTGCGACCCTGGATACGAGCTGTTTGGGTGAGTACCTCGCGCCGGCCGTGCTGGAGCGGGCGTGCAACGCGATACCGCACGGAGTGTTCCTACTCGCAACAAAACACTGGCAGTGGCCTCCAGCTGCACACTAGTGCTAGTGCTAGTGGCACACCCAGCTCATTCTCACCAAACGACAAGACATAATGAGGAGTAGTTTTTATTTTTTATGATTTAGACCAGTTTAAAAAGGCGGCTTTTGTAAACTATGCGAAATTATGCCAGTAGAAGACTGCCCAGGAACCGTTACTTTGTATGGGAATAAAATCATGAATTTGACGAAATTTTCGTTGAAACGGAGAAAAATTCTCTGCTGTCCACACAAAATCTATTCAATATAAGTAAACTTTTAGCTTTTTTTTTGTTTTTAAAAATTCCATCATCTGGACGAAAAAAAATACCTTTGGTTTCCGGCACGAAATTTTCGGTTTTGCAAATAAAACCTCTCCCACCCTAAAACGGTTTTCTGCGTGGCCACTCCGTTGCTGCCATAGACTCGGTCGGTAAGACGGTTCGTCACTTAGACTCTCTCTGTATGAGTCTCGTTCGTATTAGACGGGCCGCCACGAGATCGCAATGAGACTGACGCGAACCACGCGTTGTGCAAGTCCGTGAGAAAGTGTTCCCGCGTGGCCTCCCCCTGTCCTGCCTCTCTCTCTCTCTCTCTCTCTCTCTCTCTCTCTCTCTCTCTC